ATCATGCTACAATTGAATGGGAAAAATCTGATTATAAAAAATGGGTCTCATCTCTGTATTTTTTGAGAAGAAGAAAGAATGGAGAAGAGGAAGTCTGATTTTATGTTAATATCTACAAAATTCCTACATTTATCTACAAATAACTACAAATGAGTTTTAGTATTGTATAAAGCTGTATTGTTTTTAAAGGGTATCTACAAAATTACTACATTTATACTACAATTAAACTACGATCTATGTTGAAAAAAAAATGTTGACTACAAAATCTTATATTCATCTACAAAAAAAACTACAAATAAACTACAAATCAGTTTTAGTATTGTATAAAGCTGTATTGTTTTTAAGGGTATCTACAAAATTACTACATTTATACTACAATTAAACTACGATCTATGTTGAAAAAAAATGTTGACTACAAAATTTTCTCTTGACCTACAAAATTTCTTCAAAAAAACTACAAATAACTACAAATCAGTTTAAGTATTGTATAAAGATGTATTGTTTTTAAGAGTATCTACAAAATTACTATATTTATACTACAATTAAACTACAATTTATATTGAAAAAAAATGTTGACTACAAAAGGTTTCCTATGTGGCATAGGAATGTAAAAATCCCAAAAAAAAATAGGGTTTCAAGAATAGGCAATTCATGAAGTGATCTCCATACAAAATGTCATAGCTCGAAAGAAATTCAGATATCAAAAAGTGAGAATCTCGCCGCTGCCATTTGTTGCTTGATTTCTATCTGTGTTTGAAATTTCGAACTCTCTGCCATTATTATTTCCAGTGGGAATTCAAGCGGTTCGATCAAAGAATTTAATATTTTTTTGTGAATCTGAAAATATGATATTCTTCGATTCTTAATAACAATTGAGAGGCGGTGGGCAGTTGGAGATGATCAACGAGAGGAAGCATAGGAGCATCGTGAGTTGTGTGTGTGTTGTGAACAGTTGAGATGAAAGGAAAGAGAAAGTGGGAAGATACAGTCCTATAATTATGCCTAATATAAATGAACCCTTAATTATATCCCTAATTT